ATTTTTTTTTTGTTTGGCGTTCATCAACGTGAAATAATTACTAGAATAACAATTCATATTTAATAATAGTATTTTAAAATATTCTTAATGCCAACTTAACATTATTTGTTCTATACATTTTTTTTGAAATGGCAATTTTTAATCAAACAATGACAATTCAATGATATCTGAGACCTTTTTGAATTAATTTTTCAAGCGTATGATCATTAGGATTATACCACTGATTACATATAAAAATATATTCATCTCTTTGTCATTTGTATGTATTTTAGTGATTTAATGTTCAAGAAATTTAATAGGTTTTTCTTCTTTTTTTTTCTAGTGTTTTATTTTTTAAACATAATTAAAACATAAACCTGAGTTGCTGAGTTATTTAAATATTTTGTCAAACGTAATGAGTAATTGGAGGTTTTTATTCATGTTTTAGAATAAAAAATAAATAAATAAATAAGTAAGTCAATTTTAATATTATTGAAGAATCTCAAATAGAACACAAACGTAATCGATTAATAATGTTGATTTTTTTCAAAAAAAAAAATAATTTTAATTATTATCCTTTTCTCTATTTAGATGTTATATATTTAACAAAAATTATCAACTATTTACTAATAACATTTTATCATTGTTATTGGATTAGTATTTTATACTAAAATAATTCAAATCAAAATGAATATATCTCTCATAATAAAGAATGAGACAGGATGGGCACATTTTATTGAACATCTTTGTATTGATATTGTAATGCCAATTGCAGTCGGTGTTGGAATTATTGGAAATTTATTAAGCATATGTGTTTTTGCTCGACGAGAAATGATCAAATTTTGTGTTAGTATATTAACAATTGTATTGTCATTAAGTGACATTTTATTATTAATAACATCAATATTTAACATTGTATTACCAGCTTACAATCATTATCAATTTGCTGATAAATCTTTGTTTTGGTGGTGAGTATTATTGATTTTAAAAAATAAGATATAAAAACAAATAATTTATTATAAAAAAAAAAAATTTTTTTCTAGTCATTTTCATGGTTATTTTGATTTATTATTTGCATCGTTAAGTGGATACTCTATGGTATTTATTTCTGTTGAACGATGGTTTTCTGTTTTAAAACCATTCGATAAAGCTAAATATATCACATTTAAATCAACGATAACTACCGTTATTATTTATATTATTGTATCATCAATTGTCTGTTTATGGTATCCATTAATACTTAAATTTGATCCATATCATCCAGATCCTAATCTACGTTGTCGATTATTAGAAAAGTTTCGTAAAATTTTTACAATATTTGGTACTATTAATGTTCTTTTCACATATATAGGTATATAAAATTGTGTTTAGATTTTGCTTATGGGACGCAAACACGTAACTCTACAACTAATATGAAATTTTTCGACCACAAGATTTTGAAATTTCCTTCTTCTTATAGTTTATCAACGAAAGACAGATCAGAACTAAGTAGAAACAAAGTTTTCTGAATCAAATGGCATGTACTTCGGTCTTGGTGTCATGTTTCGTTTAAAAGATATAACGAAAATACGAAACGCTACTTTTTAACAATAACATGAGAAAAAGAGTGTTTCATATTTTCATACAGAGGTCAGAATTATGTCATTTGATTCAGAAAAGTTTGTTTCTGTTTAGTTCTGGTCTGTCTTTCGTTGACAAACTATAAGAAGATGAAGATGAAAATCTCAAAATTTCATGACCGAAGAATTTCATTTTGGTAGCAGAGTTACGTGGCCGTGCTGTATAAATAAGTCTATTTCATATTTTAGTTCCATTTACTATTCTGGGAATTTTAAACTCATTTATTATTCATCGTTTACGTGCTAGACAAAATAATTCCATACGATCAACTCATAGTGAGCGTAATTCATCATCGATACGAACAAGAACACGTCAACGACAAAATACAGATCGAAATATAACATTTATGTTAATAACTGTTGCTCTTGCATTTATGCTCATGAGCTTTCCTTACCAGTAAGTACAAGGAATGCTAGTTGGAACTCGCTGATTCCTTTTACTGGACATAACAGGCCACTCTTTTTTGAAAACTCTTCACAGAGTGAGAGAGAGACTAGGATAGAACAGAAGGAAAAGCAGAGTACAAAATAACATTATACGGTTGTTGGAATCGAACGCTAAAACTATGAATTTGTTTTAACAATTTTTATTTAAATAGAAGCATCGCCAATCAGGTATTTACCCATTATAGGCTTTGCAGAAGAATGAAAAGACTGAATATGAGAAAACAAAAATAGTAAAAAAAAACAGACAACATAATGTGCTGTGTAAAGGAGGGTAGGAAGAACTATGAATTTTAAAACATCAATTTTACTATTGACTAAATTATCCAAAAGTAAACTCCAGCGATCCTCCACCCCAGCGGTGAGGGTGATCGATCGAATATCACCCTCACCCATTGTTTTACGCTGATACCAATTCAAAAAAACGATAGAAAACCTAGGAGTTCTCTGAAAGTTGTATGAAGATCCCAAGAATTAGGATTTCCTGGATCAAGTGTAAACTCCTTGCCGCACTATCCTAGGCTGAACTCAAAAGAATTTGTTTTCTTTTTTTTCTGCACATCCATGATCTTGTGACTGACAGACACACTGTAAAAAATGATTGCGTTAAAAAGTGAAAAAAAGCAGAAAAATATGGGATCCACATTTGTGATGTTTATACTAGGATATTCTGCCATATTGTGAGGAATCTTTCTTACGATGTCTCACAACTGTGTAATACACTGACACGAGTTTAGAATTTTACACAAAATTGTGGCATATTGTGGGACATGGTAAAATTTTGCTCACACTATGACAGAATAACCTAGTATAAACATCACAATTGTAGAGCCCATATTTTTCTGTTTGTTTTCACTTTTTAACGCAATCATTTTTTTGCAGTGCGGACAGTTTTCGTTTTATGACTCTTAACTGACAGTCAACAGAAAAGTCAAAATTGTATGATATATGAAAGAGACAAAACATCATATTTTTTCAATATCTTCACTAGTGACCCAATAGCTGTTATCGCTATTATTGTTTATTTCTACCTTAGTCTTCAATTAAAAACTTTTATTTGCTTTGATTTGTTTTAGAATTTATTGGTTTTATTTACAAATATCTCAAACAACATCGAACAAAACACTATATACTTTAACACAAACATTTCGTAATTTAAATTGTATGATTAATTTTTTTCTCTATTCTGCTACATCTTCATTATTTCGTCGTGAATTAAAAGAAATATTTCATTGTTGTTATTTATTATCATCATCAAAATCGAATAGTTTACCGAATACTGAACAAACACTATTGCCAAAAGATAGTGTTAAATTACAAAAAAAAAATTCGAATACTATAACTGACACTACTAGTCCAAAATCTTTAACAAAAAATGGTTTAATAACAACAAAAACAGAAAATAATCATTTGTTAGGTGAATGTATTGATATTGAACTAAATAATGGTAGTAATAATAAAAAATAATATCATGTGCAAATGTGATTTTTATATTAGCCGGTGAAATATTTTATTTAAATGTTTATTAATTTAAAATAGAAAACTCACTATTAATGATCACTGATTTATTTTTGCCATGTTTATCCGTCATATTAAACCTTCTTTGTATAATGCTTCTTTTTTTTTTCTTTTGAAGATGTCTATTTTTTATTTGCTCATTTTAGTTGTGTAAATATATCATGAGTATTTGGAAACAAAAAATGTTTTAATAAAAAGAGAAAAGATGTAAGATTTTATCTCTAACATAAAAATCAGTTCAACATGATGAAAGATAATAAATTTCTCAGTTTTATGAGAATAAACACGTTTTTTTTTTAAAGTAATTTTTTTAATTATGAGACTGAGACCATTTCAGAAGGAGAAGTGGAAGAGTAGCAGTTTCTTTTCTATCAAATAATAACATTTATTAGTCCTTTGTTGATTTGATTAATTTCTTTTGTTTATAAATGACATAAAATAAAATATAATATTTGGACACTTCTTCTTTCCACTGTTCTTCTCCCCAAAGTTCTACTCCGGACATTTCTTATCATAGGACACTTCTTTTTCGCACATTTCTTATCCTCAAACAGTTTTTACCAAACACTTTTCTAGCTCAAAGTTTGTGGATGATAGAAAATATCATATAGTGCCATATGTGGGTAATATAGCGTTTCTTACTCTGTATGGATAAGAAAGGATAACAGTTATCAAAATATGTGTCTATGTTACTAAAATAAGGGACTCAAAATGCCCGAAAAACAGAGAAAATAAACAACTTTTGACTAAAAGACAATTTGTCCTAGTAGTGATGCAATGTTGTTTGGGTGATATAGTGATATATGTAGACTTCATACAGCACCTATTAGATTCTCAATTCTGAATGAATACTATAAAAAAACGTAATGGTCCAATTTTAATTGATTATCGATATGAAGAAACGTCAGAATTTTACATTTTTCAGGGGGATGAATTATAGAATTGAGCATCGAAGAGAATCAGATTTGCAACAAAATTCTAGAGATTTCAGTTTATACCTAATAGTTCCTGAAATTCTATGTTGTCCAATGTTTAATTCTACAGATCTTACCAATTCTACGAATCAAACTCTACTTCGACGAGTTGAAAATATCATTTTGTGTTAAGGACAAGAAGTACAGAATTGAACATTCAAAATGATCAAATTTGATAACTTATAAAACTGCAGAAAATTTAGCTAATTCTCAATCTTTTAAATTTGGAGGATGGCATGGAGGAAGACCTGAGTGTGAGTCGAATTCTAGAACATTTAAAGAGTACTGTGGTAGATAAATTCTCAGTTTGTAGAAGCCATTTCTTAAGAAGTGCAAAACTCTAGAGAAATGTTTCTTTAGAATTGTTCACTTTGTTTACTACGCCACCTAAACGACAGTGAATACATCCCTCATTTCCCCTACCATGCACTGCTGCTGACCGAAGAAGAGCAGCAGAATAGGATTTTTAAACTCAAGATCCTAAACTACAATTCCACGATAAGTACAAGACTTTCGGAGTACCTCTGTACTGAACAAATTCCCGCAGAACCAATTAAAAGATTATGACAGGGCAAATGTCACAAATTGTTGGTTGGTCAAAAGTTGTTTATTTTCTGTTTTTCGGGCACTTTGAGTCCCTTATTTCAGTAACATAGACACATATTTTCATAACAATTATCCTTTCTTATCCATGCAGAGTGAGACACCACTCAATAAAACGCTATATTACCCACATATGTCACTATATGATATTTTCCGTCATGCACAAACTTTGAGCTAGGAAAGTGTTTGGTAAAAACTGTTTGAGGATAAGAAATGTGCGGAGAAGAAGTGTCCGAAGTAGAACTTTCCCGCAGAAGAATAGCCTGGAGAAGACGTGACCGGGATTCAGAAAATATACGATGCAAAAACAACAACAAACTGTACAGATTTTATTTAACCCATGTAAGAATTTAACGTGTATATTTTCCATTTTTTCTACGTGCTTTTGCAAAAAAGGATATTTTTCTTGCGTTAAAACGCGTACATTTGACTTTCCGTACAGTACCGTACGGTACTGTTGGGAGTGTATAACGTTGCTTTAGCTGGTGTTTTCTTCGCAGTGGAATTTGGACTACATTGTGTTAACAGAGAGAGAATAGTACCGATAACATAATGTAGAAACAGTGAATTTATTAGCATTCAAATTTTTGCATGAGTATTTATTTATCATGCCAAACAAATTTAGTTAGCACCAACAATTATGATATTGTTAAGCGATCATAAAAAACACGAATAAAGAAACGTTGTTCTAATGTTAATTGAAATATAACACCAAAAAACGACGAATTATTGATGTGTACGATTTATGTTAATTTTTTTCGACATTTTTTGGTATTTCTTTTGCCGCGTTTAAAATTCGTCGAATGTGACCAATTTTCATAATTCCAAGTTCCTATGAAGTAAAAAAAGACGTGAAACAGTTTGTTTTCATTTTTCAAACAGTAACAAAATACAAACTTTAAGATCTCGTCGTTCTAAATGTTTAAGTTCTGTGCCGCGAATGTCATGTCGAATAAAGGCACTTTTATATTCACCAAGTTCAATGGCGTCTAACCATAATCCAACTTGTTCTCTAGCATCCCAACACTCTATTGGAATTGCTAAAAGAATGTAATTGCGTAAGCACGTTTCTAACAATGTCAGCAATGCCTCAATTATAACCCTGTAATCACAGTTTACAGTAACCGCCGGTTTAAAGCTGTTCGTGACCGATTTGAAACCTAAAGTGCTCTTTTCTTTTGGATTACATCATAATTACTTAAGATCAAGCTTTGACTTTTTTTCACATCATAATTACAGCGTAAAAACGGACTTAATGTGACGATCACGACGTTATCCAAACGCAATCGAAAACATGGTAAAGACTATTTATCTATTAAAAACTATAGTGCAGAAAAAACTCTTTTTAAATAATTTGTGACAGACAAAAAATTAAGTCCAAAATCCTGCCTGCAGGTGATGTACCTGATGGTTTTTTCGCAGATAAACTGCGCTTCCTGTGCCGCCATAGCAATCTATGGTGTCAAATTATATATGCGAACATACATTGACATCCATAGTACACATCCACGCAAATCCGAGACTTCCATCTATCACCGTTCGAGCGGGGTAGGATTTCTGCCGAAGCACTTTCTATCGATCGACCTTAATACCTGGTTTTTGTCTCTCTCTTTCTACTACAGTGTTTTGTCTGGAGATTTCTGGAAAACGGTTTTCGAAAAACTAGTGTCACTGAGGAATCCGCTTTTGACGGTTTTTGTGCATGTTGAGAGTTAGAATATGCGGGAAGACTTATCACAATATTCCCAGATTATTATTTTCTTAATGATTTTCCAGAAACCTGCTTTTCACGAATAAAGAAAATAATGATTTTGCCCATTATCTTCTATAGACTGGCCAAAACCACTCCTCTTTAGTCTATCACAAGTTATTTCGAAAAGAGCTTTCTGCAATACAGTTTTTAATAGATAATAGTTAGTAACCATCAGTTTATTCATCGTTTTGTTTAACTGCCACTATTAGGACATATTATATCCAACACGATTGCTTTTCAAATTTCCAAATTTTCCCTTTTCTGTACATATTATTCAATGGCGCGACTATGGTATTCTGATAAAACGAAATTTTGAGATTCTAATCTTCTTGTAGCATTTTAATGGAAGAGATCTATTAAACCCAAGCAAATATCACCTATGGGAAAAATCTAGATACATTTCGTCTGTAATCGGGCGATACACGACTAGTTGCCATCTAGATTACTAGTTGGAAAAGGGACTTTTAACTAGATGCGTCTGCAGGTGCATCTAGTAATAGTTAAATCGATCGATTATCGGGCGATAAATCGATAGTTGCAACTAGAAAAAATCTAATAATCGCCCAGTTACTAGATTTCCACTGTCGTTACACACTAGTTGCAAGCGAGTAAAAATCTAATAATCTAGATGAATCGGGCGATACTAGATTTTTTTTGACGCTTGGGAAATTAAGTGAGAAAAGAGTATTTCATATTTTACCTGAATATACTTCTGTACGCTATGCAGAAAATTTATATTTGATCCAAGATCTTTGCAGAACCTTAACCTTGAACAAATCTAGACGGAATCTTGATTTATTTTTTATATTTAGGTCTAACTTTTAAAATTCTTGATCAAGATCTCGACAAATTTGTTTCTAAAATTTCAACCAGCTACATTTGAACAAGATTTTTCTGATAATTTATTCATTTTCCTTGTCGTTCCGTCTATCATTGTTGCGTTTTGCATCTCGCATGCATAATAACTACACTGTTCGCAGTATAGAACATTGAAAAATTTTCAAGTCTACTCATACGCATGATGGTCAACTGTATTCTTATCCATGTGGTTTGAACAGAAGAGTTCCAGAATCACTTGAACGACACGACAGAGCTGCAAAGTGTTTTCGGACCAAAAACAAACAAAGAACAATAGCTAACCAGCCCAAAAACCTATTTAAGAGCTAATTAAAATTTCGGAATACTCGATCTACAAGTCTAATGACTTGAAGAATTTGCAGAGATTCTTACAAAATTTCACGAAAATCATCAATGATGTTGAAAAATATTCTAAAATTTTATCAAGATTTCTGTTTGAAGTTCATTAACATGAATAGATTTGGAATAAGTATTTTAATTACCCCATAGTGCTTTCAAAAGTTCTCGGTCATCTTTATGTTTTGCTTTTGAACGCTTGATTTTTGTTACCAAACTAAATTTTGACCGTTTACGCCGTTGATGATGATGAACAAAATGAATGTCATCCTATTTAGAAAAAAAGTATTTTAAATATCACAATTCGTCTAATTATACATCATACCTCATCATCATTTTCTCTTCTAATAATTCTTCCATCACTGGTTTTTGTTATTATTCGTAAGTTTTTACTCATATCACTGATGGCATGTTCAAGTTTTGTCAAAATTTCTTGATCAATAATAATTTCGGATGATGATTTTACTTTTAATAAAACTAAACTCGTTTCTTCAGTTAATGTTTGTATACTATTAATAAAATCTAATGCTTTTTGTCGTATACAAGGCTAAAATTTTAATATAGAATTAAAAGTTTTGAATAATGACAACATATTTAATATCTATCTACCAGCCGTTTCAAAATATAATGCACTCCATTGTTCTTTCAATAACTTTTGACAGAAAATAGCTAGAGAGCTGCGATTTTCAGTTTTAGAGACTAGAATCTGGGACTATCCGTTTATGGGAAAGTAAGTTTAGAAATACCACCTGCAGGTGGTAAGCCTCTTCAAAACTTTTTGCAAAAACGTTTTCACCATTGAAGAAGTTGTGGATTTTCGATTCCAAATAGTGGACTGGAGATCTTGGATGTTGATCTACGATTCTCGACAAGTCCCAGGTTTCCATTTCTTATGGTCCGAGAGTTAGAGACGTTCTTCGCAGACTATGCTATCTCCAAATCTGGAGGTTTGCGGATCTCAAAAGCACTCGAGACACAAGCAATCAGCTATGCTGATCATCGTGGCATTATTTATTTTCATCTTCTAAAGGAACTCCAGTGAAGAAATCAGTGAGTTATGCGGAGGATTTTCCTGAGATCTCTGAAAATCCGATGGTCCTTCAGTGAATCCCACGCAAGTTTTTCGTCATGGTCTATAGTCTTCGAATATTTCTAAATTTATTTTTGCATAAACGGATAGTCCCAGATTCTAGTCTCTAAAACTGAAAATCGCAGTTCTCTAGCTATTTTCTGTCAAAAGTTATTGAAAGAACAATGGAGTGCATTATATTTTGAAATGGATAGTAGTAGGAAATGTCAGTTAATTATATGACTATGCTTAGTAGGGTCCTGCCGTTATAAGTCATCGCTACTCTCCCGTCAAACTACAAGAGATCCTTTCTTATGCAATAATACAGAGATCTAGTGTCTAGTAACTATCTATTAACAAAATCATTTCGTTTTTGACACTTACATTGAGTAGTTTTTCGCCTCCATAAATCTGTTCTAAATGTGCTGAAGCTTGTTTAGCGTAATCATGAAGTTCCGATTCAAATAATGGCAATTTCAGTGCAATTGTTTTAACTCTGTGAAGTAAGAATGGCAATGAATAGTGAACATTAAATAAATATCTGTATGGTATACCTTTTTATCAGTACAATGGCTATTTCAATTAATAAGCCAATATTCGTACTTTCATCTTTTGTTAACCAAATACCATGCGTTTCTTGTTTTATTGTTGACCATTCTTTTAATGTATTTTCAAACGCCTATATAGAAACGACTCAGTGCGTCTAAACTAGGAATTGTTTGTTTTGTTTACCTTATCACGTGAGAGCATTTGTGCCCGATTTTTATGAACGATTTGAATTTGCCCGGGATGTTGTAGCCACGCTTCACCGTCAACTTGAACAGGTATACTCGATTCACCTTGTATTATAATTCGAACCGTTCGACACTGAAAACAAACGAGAGCACGTTAAACTAGTCTTTTATATTCTTAAACCAGTACACACTTGAGCTATTCGATTGCTTCGAATGTTCATCAAACGTGAAACAGCTAAATGAATGCAGCCTGTTACAGCAACAACTTCCAATAGTTTATCGTCATATGATGGTGTAACAAAAGTCTGAATCAAATGAAATATTACCAGTTGAGTATAACATAAAATAAAATTTCTTTAACATACGTCATCTTCTCTAGTGACCACTGATGAATCACCCCAAAAGTCCACTCCACCCGAGTAACTTGGTATATTTAGAACAACAATGCCTATTAAGAGAGAAAAAAATTTAGAAATAGCCTCATATTTTTTCATATCCAGCATTTCATGTTTTCTCTCTCTCAGTCTTTAAATATAAGTTATATATATACATATTTAACGGGTGAGTCAAAAATAATGAGAAAATCTTGCAACCTATTTTTAGCCATGCTGATCAGGTTGATATTTCGAAAAAGTAATGCAGCGAAAGGACAAGCATAATTGCGGTAAAAGGCATAGCTTATGTCCTTTTTAGTACTCGATCAAATTAATTATGTGATAATGTTTCTAGCAACTATTCATTACATGTGCTTTATGTAAAGAAAGTGTTTTCGGTCAATTAATTCCAGTTAAAAAATTAGATTATTTCTAACATTTTGTCTAGTTTACTGGATGACCGGAAAACGTACGAGCAAGCAGTCTAACCAAAAAGATAGACCTAGAATGTTACCGAGTTGGAGTGACTAAACATAACTAGCAAGATTTTCTTAATCCTAACCCATCCGTCATTTTAACATATACATATCTAAAACAGAGATCGGCACGGGCCGGGCTTTTGGTCGGACCAGATCGGGCTGGGCTAGGAAGCTTTAAGATCGGTTGGGCCGGGCTCGATCTCAAGTTTTCTTTGCCGGGCCGAGCACTTCTCTTTCTTTCCATGAGCATATGATTAAATACATCAATAAAATCATTATATTTAGTATAAGCATGTTCGTAGTGTTATAATATTTCTTTTTTTAATATGTGGCTGAATAAACAAGTTATCTAATGCATAGAAAAGTTGTTTTTTCATTTCCAGGAAAGTTTTCGTGTAAGACAAACCTGATATTCGTAATCAGCATGAAATTCTACATCGACTGGTATATTCTTTAAAGTAATCAGAAATAAAAAAAAAGATGTTCGATGTTTCAAGGGCGTCATAACGAAAAATGTTCAAAAAAAGTCAAAGTCGTTTTTCGAAGGAACAAAACACGTCATTTTGCTCAGAATTCAATGCTGATTCCAAA